TTTTAATTTGCATTTATCTATAATTAAACTAAATAATTTGTAATCATTGTTAATAAATAAATTTGGGAAAATAATTATTAGATGAGATAATGTAAATTTTTAGTATTACCAAAAATGATTGGAGTGGTACAAGTGACTTTAAATATTTGGAACTCCATACTTTATTAAATTAATCTTCTTGATTATCAATAATAAAAATATTTATTTATATAGTAGATCAAAATACTTAATGATTGTTATATATAACATTTAAGCTTAGAAAGATAATTTGTTATTTTTGGTTAAGATGCTTTTATTTTAATTTCTAATAATTCTATTAAAATTCCTTTAACTTTCTCTATTAATTTTTTGGATCTAATACATTTAAAGATTATTATTGTCACTTATGATATCGATTATTTTTTGAATCATACTCCTCACATCCCTAATAGAGTGCGTAATGAATTCATTAATATAGAATAAAAGATTCAAATTTTTCTCTAAAAATGATATCCATTAAATTCATCAGAGTATAGATTGTATTTAAATATGAGTAAAATTAAAAAAAGAATGAAAAGCCTAATAATTAAATTATGCATAAATAATTGATTAAATTTATATTTACAAAGCAACTCAAAATAAGAAATAAGCAGTAGAAGAATTATTTTTGTATAAAAAATTCTATTTTCAGAAAAGAGGAATAACATGCCAAATAGAATTAAAATTTTTCTTTTGATAGAAAATAATTTCTTATGGTTTGATTTTAAATTTGGACTTGATATTTCTAAATTGAAACTAATTTTGTACTGATATCGAAAAATTATTGTTGAAGAATCATAATCAAAGTATAGTTTATTTACTCATTTTAAAATATTATAATAATAACTTATATAGTTCTCTTACCTTTAAGGTTATCATATAGCCTCAAGTAGTTACAAACAATTTCTTGACTTTTTTATAACTAATTGTTGATGATATTTAAATTTCATCTTTTTATAATTAAAATATAGCAATATTGAAAATATTGATACAGATTATTATAATTTAATATCAGACTTAAAGGATATACTTACTAAATTATTATTTCATTACTTGAGTTTACATAGCTGAATTTGTAAGAATTTCAATATAAATTTGTGTTATGTAAGACAATAAATCAAATACATTGCGTTTATATTTATGCATAATAGAAGAATTGATGTATTTAATATTATAAAAACTGAGAAAAGTGGTGTGTTCATATATTAGAAGATCTGCTGATCTAAGAAATCATTAGACCTTTTTCAGATTTCACTCTAAATCAAAATATATTGAGCTTACTATTCTCGAAATAAGTTTAGGGTTTACTTTTATATATTACAATTAATTATATACATTATATATTTAGTAAATTATAGATACTCTTATAAAATTTATTTTCATAAACACTATAGACTTCAGATCCTAGAACTTCCAAAATCTCAATGTAAGTTATTTTTTGAGAATCCATGAGTAGTGTAAGGCTATATCAACTCTATTTAGTCAAATGTGAACTTTTTTCAATATATGATGTGAAATTTATCGTATTTATGACACAAAATTTTCAAAGGCGTGCTTACAATATTATCCTGAAAGGATATTTTTGATTAAATTTACACGCTTTTAAATTCACAAGAACAATTACAATAAATTGATTGAATTTGCAAAGAAATATTTTAGCAATATGCTAGAAGAAGAAAATTCATCAAGTGGTATCCATTAAAACTTTATTATTTTATATATTATTGTAATATATATATTTTATATTGATAATCAAAAGAGTAATTCATAAGAGCTAAACAATTATTATATATTAAGAAAGATATTTTATAATAAATTTTATTTAATGAGAATAATATTGTAATAGAAAAAGGGAATTATAAAATATCTTATTTTTATTAATTATATTAATGTCATCTGATCTAGATAAGAAATTGTGTTAAAAGCATAAATTAGAAATTTTAACTATAGATTTAAAATAATCAACTGCTGACGAGGACAAATACCTTTGTATAAAGTGCCTTATGGAAAAAATTGATATTTAAAACATGGCTTTGGTTGAAGAGACAAAAACAATGATTAAGTAAATGAAGAGTGAGCAATTGAATAACAAAATCAAAGAATATTAAAGTAGGATTGAAAGTTTTAGATAAATACAATCATAAGTTAAAGAATTTAAATTATTGATAAACAACACTATTGACAAAGTTTAAAATAACATAGATTAAAAAATCACTCTAATGGAGAATGAACTAGATGAATCAGAATCAAAAACTTTTGTTTCTTCTTTTGAAGAAGATGTCAAAATATTATCAAAGAATTACAAAGGATCATTTCGCTTTGAAGTACCTAAAGAATTGGAGAAGTTTCTAGATGACAATTCTTATATCGATTCTATTTAACAATAGTTACAAACTATAATAAATTGCCCAAAATTAACATAAATTAAAGAAGCCTTAGAAAAGAATAAAGTGGAAAGTGGAAATTCAGAAATAAAGTAACTATAACTACTTTCTAAAAAGGAGGAGGATCCATAGGTAATTATTATTTTTTAA